TCATTGACAGACACGGAGGTGATGCAGGGAGGGCTGGGCCCGCACACGCCGCCAGAGCGGTAGCCGAAGCTGCGTCCGCAGGAGCCAGCGCGGAATCCCCCGCAGACGCTGCGGCTCCCGAAGCCCCCGGTGAGGCCGCGGTAGCAGGAGATGCCGCGATAGGGGGCGGCGGTGATGCAGCAGCGGCCGGGCCGGGGCCCGCAGGCGGAGGCGCAGCTGAAGGCGCGGGGACCGAATCCACAGGTCATGGTGGGGATCTGAGAAGTAGAGGAGAGACGCTTGCAGGAGACGGAGTCCAGGATCTGAGCACGCTGGGCTGCTGCAGGTCCTTTTATGCACCAAGGACAGCTAGCATTAAAAAGAGCAGCAAAGACACAATATGGGCATTTTATTGGCTTGGCATCAACCCGGTCTCTTAAGAGCCAACCCAGCTTGCCTCTTCAATATGGCTGTGTCAACAATTCCTGGCCACAGGCCCTGTTTCATCTTCAAAGCCCTTTACAAGCTTCCTCTTGGCCTCTCCCCTCTCATTGCCATTGGAAGTGGAGAAGGGAGAGGGGTCCTGAAAGCATCCGCTGAGTTCCAGGATCTGCGTGCAGGGCAAGCATGCAGTGATCCGGGTGGAGCCTGCTCTCTGAACTCTTTTCTGGAGAAGATTAAGACCTGGCCTGTCCCATGGAAGAGGTTGTGAACCTGGATCTCCTCTAGGCCTTTGTAGTTCTAAAATCTGTGCTTGCTTTCTTTAAAAAAAATTTTTTTTTAAACGTCATTGTCAAGGTCAGCCTCTTCTAGGATCTTTGTCAGTGATGGGAGTAGGGGCAGAGATTTAGGGGGGAGCACATGGTCCCAGTACTTTGGATGTTTGTAGGATGAGTGAGGCCACCGTCTCACTCATGGGGCATGGGAGAAGCTGACAGAGAGTTTAGGACAGAATCAGTATGTTCTCAGAGCTCTGAGCATCACTGCTGGTGGCTTAGAAAACAGAGTATAAAACATCGCTGTCTCCAGAGCTCATAGGAGCATCAGGCAAGGCTTCTGAGGGAGAATGCAGCACTGGGTTTGTGAAGAGCTGGGATGGTGGCAACAGGGCTAAGAAGAGATGAGTTTGTTTCTGATTCTGAGACTAGACTGTTGGTGTGTGCCATCGAGTTGGAACTGACCCATAGCTGACCCTCTGGCAGGTTTTCAGAGGCAGTTAATTGCATGGGAGGAGATTGCCCATCCTTCTTCCACGGAGCAGCTAGTAAATGTGAACTGTGTGCCTTTGGGATCGCAGTGCAGCTTTTTACCACTAGGCCACCAGAGCTCCCTTAAGAAAGCCAAAAACCCTGCACTTGTTGCCAAGTCTTCAGTCTTACTAGATGTGAAGCCTTGGGATGATGGCAAAACTGGAAGAGTGTGTCAGAAGTATTCAGGCAGACGGCTTGGTCTGGGGCTCTTCCAAGCTAGTGCCAGTGGGATATGGAATTAAGAAGCGTCAGATACAGTGTGTAGTTGAAGATGATAAAGTTGGCCCAGATATGCTGGAAGAACAGATAACTGCTTTTGAAAACTATGTGCATGGACGTGGCTGCTTTCAACAAATTCTAATATCCATCTGCATTCAACAATAAAAACTTTTAAAAACAAACAAACAATAGATGATTAATACTAGCAGTTAGGAAATAATAAGACACATTGCACTGGGAAAATGTGCAGTTAGGGACCTCTCCAAATTATTGAGGAATAATGATGTCATTTTGAGGACTAAGGTGAGTCTGATTCAGGCCGTAGTCTTTCTGATCACTTCTGAGAGCTGGACAATGAATAAGGATGACAGGGGAAGAATTGATGTCTTTGAGCTGTCTGTGGTGTTGGAGAAGAACGCTGAACATCCCATGGAGGGCCAAGAGAATAAACAGATATGTCTTGAAGAGGGTGCAACCGGAGTGCTCTTTGGAGGCAAGGATGATGAGGGTTTGCCTCACATACTCAAATCTATGACAACTATTAACAACAACAACAGTTCTTCATTCTGAATGTTTATGATGACTGTGCATCAGCATTGCTAGGCTCTGGAGATGTAGGGGAGACCTGGAGTGTTTGGATGTAGGTGAGGATCAGACACACACACACACACCCCACCACCACCACTACCATCACCACCAATATTAGGCAAGCAGGGAAGGGAGAGGGTGAGTCCCATGGTGCCTAGATTGAGAAGCTAGATTGACACGGGATGGGGGGCACCTTCAGCGTCTGCAGGGAAGCTCAGCAATGGATTCTATTGCTGAGAGATAGCTCTTGGTGTATATACACCTACCATCAAGGATGAAAAGGATTATAGCTGGGGGACAAGCTGACAGAGCATCTAGAAATGCCATCACTTCCTTCCTTTAGAGGACTCACAGGATAAGAGAGGTTGGTGGGGACTCACAGGCTGTCTCTAAAACCAACTTCTCTTAATTTGTCTTCCCATCTCTTTTGGTTAGGGCTAGTGATGACTTTGCTGGATGGGCAGTGGGACCAGCCAGCAGGTTTCCCTGATCTGAGGATCTGAGCCCATAAATCCATGCACATAAACCTCTCCAAGCATACGTCTTTATGACAACCCTTGCGTGGAAGATGACTCCTGTGATGCACCTCCTGACCCAACCACAACTCGTGCTGACAAATCTCAGCTAAAAATAGCCTGGCATGCATTCTACCTGGTTCTTCACCTTATGCCCTCTCCACTTCTTCTCCGAATGGGTAGACAAATTACAACTGAGAGTCTGGGATTGGGGAAGACAAGAGAGGGGCCTATTTTTGGTGGGTAAGTAGGTGGTATTGCTCTAGAAATCTTAAAGAGAGTGGAATAGTGTTAGCAAAAGATCCTAAAAGAAAAAGGAAAGAACCCTCCTCTCAGGTCCTGGGGACTTCTTGAGAGCGTGGGATGAGGGATAGAGACTTCTAGTGTGAGGGACACATCAAGATGACATGGCCTCTGTTTCCTGCTCTGTGGCTCGTGGGGTTTTGGAACACTTATGTGGGATCCTTGGCTAAACTTTTGCTGGGTCAAATGTCTGCTAAACATGCAAAAATCAGATCTTCGTATCCTCTCATCTTCACCCACACCAGAACTCATAGGGCCCTGAGAGTTTTGCCACACATGTCTAATAATTATATGAGACTTGTTTCCTAGATACTGAGGGCTACAGGCAGTGAATTTTTCATGAAGCATTTCTCTTTCCATCCTGCTAAGACTACAGCCTTCAATACAGATTATATCTCAACATCAAGAAAACAAAGGTTCCTACCACTGAGCCAATAGGCAACATCATGCTAGATGGACAAAGGATTGAAACTGTCAATGATTTAATCTTACTTGGATCCACAATCATCACTCTTGGTATCAGCAGTTAGGAGATCAGGAGATGTATTTCTTTGGTAAAGTCTACTGTCAGGGACCTCTCCAAATTATTGAAGAGCATTGATGTATGCTTGAGGACTAAAGTTCACCTGATTCAGGCCATGATCTTTTCAGTCACTTGCTATGCATCTGAGAGACAGTGAATAAGAATGACAGAAGAATCAATGCCTTTGAGTTGTGGTGTTAGAGAAGAGTCCTGAATATCCTATGGACTGCCGAAAGAAAGAACAGATATGTCTTGGAAAAGTTGAAGCCAGAGTGCTCCTTAGAGGCAAAGATGGCAACTCGGTGGAGAGTTAGTGAAAGAGAGGAAGACTCCTCCCTGCTCCATGAGATGGATTGACAAGGTGATTGCGGCAATGAGCTCAGTGTGTCTGATCTTGTGAGGATGGCAGAAGATAGGGCAGGATTCAGAGCTGTTGTTCATAGGGTCACTATGAATTGTACTCAACTCGGTGGCACCTAAAAACAGCTGTTCCTTCCATCCTCTGACCCTGCTCATCTACCTCAATTCAGCAGGCTCAGTATTGAGTTGGATCTTACCACTGGGAGTCTCTGTGTAGTCACACCCACTCCTCTGGGTCAGGGAGCCATGACTGTGCCCAGAACCCTGTCCAATTGGAGGTGTGCTAATATGGATTCTAGAGATAAAAGGGCATAGGATCTAGCTCTTCACTTATTAGCTCCGTGATGTGGACAAGTGAGGGTTCCTAATATGAAAACCAATATATGGTAATCCAGACCTTGTTGGGTTATTGGGAGTGTTAAGTGAATAAAGTGTCTTAGCCTCTTCTGCTCTCCGCGTCCTAACATATTGACCAGGTCTGGGTTACCTTGAGCTGGCAGAGCTTGCAAAGGGATAGGATGTGCTGTCCTTGGTGAATAGCAAATAGCCTGTTGGCTTTACAAGGCCATCATCTCTGCCTCAGAAAGCCCTAATTAGAGCATCTATTTGTAAATGGCCCAGAACAAAGAAAATTGCTGAACTGGATGAGCCTGTGAAAGCAGACACTGATGACACAGACAGGAAGCTGACAAAGAACCAGCACCAGGCCTGACCTCTGTACCAGGCTGAGCTTGATTCCTGCCTTATAAAGGTTTTGGCTAAACCCGGGATCCTTTGGTTGTCAAGGCCAGTGCATGGGCCTGGCTCCCTGGGTGGACTTGTCCTTGCTGCCTGGAGTGACATCTTGCCTATCTCCTGTTCCTCTGACCCCTGCCTACACCCCCAGAAGTGATCTTATTCCCCACTGTATGGCTTTCTGGTGGCTGCCTTCTAGTCTGCCTGAAATTCCTGTTTCATGATGGATATTGACAGTTACATTTCTGTGTTCATCTCCATACACATCCTTAAAAGAAATCTCTAGAAGTTGAATTGCTTGACTAAGAAGGACTGTCCTTGTGGACATATCTGCCACTCATCTGGCCATGGAAATAGCCTTTCTGTGGAAAGGGGCTGCAGTGAACTAGTAGAATGAATTCAGGACTGCAGTGAGGAAGTGTGGATGCAAATCCTACTTTTGACATTAGTTGTGTGACAAGTTAGTTTATCTCAGTGAACCTTGCGTCTTCATCTGGAGACAGAGGTTATAACACTGACCTTGAGGGCCTCCAAGTTGACATGAAGGTGGCAAGTGTGAAAGCAATGTAGATGAAGTCCATCAGAACGCTGATTATGGCTCCAGCTAGCTGCCTGGGACAGGGGGAATCCTTGTGTTTCCCTTTACTTTGGTTCTTCCAATCTTCAGGCTCCAGTTTTGCCTCATGGCCTTTAAATCACAACACAGTGAGCTCTTCGGACTCCCATGCTGTTGTCAGGTGCCATCAAGTTAGATCTATCTCTTAGCCACCGTACGT